ATGCATGGTCCCTCATGAGAATCCTTTTTGGGGAAGCTCATGGTTTCTGAGGACACGAATTGCAAAGGCAGTGCAATACTGTACCCACCCATCGCGGGTCAAAACCCATGTCAGGAGGGGTTTGTTGTTCCAAACGCAGTTATATATATATATATATAGTATTTTGTTTTACAGCGTTCTCGTGGGTTGCTTGATGCACAAACAGTGTTGGTCTATAAGCATTGTTTGCTTTCAATATTTGTGGAGTTAAAACTATGAGTGGCATCCCTTGGCAGGCGGGACAAGTACGAGAGTAACGTGAAAGAGTATTGGGTTGATGTTGAGACCACTGGGAGCTTCGATAACGAGCATGAAGAGAGCCTGACAGATCGGACTTGCGTCGAGGGCCAAGCGGCCACCTTTGATCTTGGCATTCAGCCAGTGATGCCACCCGGTGTGCCTGAAGAGGAGGAGGAAGATGAGAATGGGTTAGAGGATGAGGATCAGGATGATGCTAGGACCACCGTGGGCCCCGGCGGCAAACCTTTGGAATTAGAAAGCGCGCTTGAGGCAGTAGCATACATGGCTTGGGAATGTTTATATGCAGTTTCATTGAGTATACTCCAACCCATTCCAACTCGATCGCTCTAATACATGTGAGGCGGTGGATAACGTGAGTACCGTTATGGGCAACCTGTTGAAGACCCAATCCAAAATGGAGACACTTTTGGAGAAGCTGAACAACTTGAATACTCCTGAAGCGAAGCAGAACCTTACCTGTATAATGTGTGTTGCGGATAGTTCATTTTGGCCCGCCCCACCAGTCCAAGCAACCAAGCTGTCAGATAAGGAGTGGTGAGAAGATTGCTGGCTTCAAATCGAAGCTGGTCTCACTCCATGACGAATTGGCTGATCTCAAATCTTATTTTGATGCCCAGAGTGTGTGTTGTCTTGACCCCGCCAAGGAGAAACTTAGCTTCAGAGATCAGGGTTTGAATTTTACAAAAGTAGTGGGCTGTGTCACCCTCAAACATGTGGTCCTGCAAATGTTAGGAAAATTGATGCGCTCAAGACGCTCGTGGGAAGCATTGAGATGGAGCCTGGCCCTCACTTGACCTTTGCATTTATGAACGCATACCATCGCATGAACATTACCAGATCCCAAAATATTGCGAAGGTCTTCCCGAGCTTTGATGGAAGAGGTCAAACTGAGAAAGTATCGTGCTTAATACTCTCTTGACAATTTACTGCGTATGATCGTGAGTGTGATTGCTTCTGGAATCTTTCGAATCGTATTTTTGCTTTTTGATTTCTACCGTCTGCAGGACCCTGCTTCGCACCAAGCCTGTCCCGAAGGAGAAGGCAGCGTCGGCGAAAAACAAAGCGGCAAAGGCTGCCGCCAAAGCTAGCGCTGAGCCTCGAAAGAGGGCAAAGCGGGATCAAGAAGCTCTGGAAGCCGATTCGACGAAGTCGAAACCCAAACGAGCTCGCAAGTAAGCCCGGAGTCATGTGTTGTTGTGGGCCCTAGAGTGCACTCGTAAAGGCTGCATGGAAGTTGTAGAAAGGCATTCTGTTTCCAAGACATTCGTGACCTGGGTCATAATTTGGATGGCCTCGACGGTTGCCTTTGAAGTGAGTGCAACCTGAATCCCCATGGCTATATAACAGCAGTCTTTGCACTATAGAAATTCACACGTGTCGTTGTCACATACGTGTGATGTTTGAAGGCTGTAGCAGGGCCCAGGGAGGTGGTTGTAAGGTGTAAGTCGCTCCACAGTCCAGTCCAAGACATCTGTTTCAAAAACCACACATACACTCATGCACATGCGCTTTGTTCAGTGCTATCTTATGATATCTTCAAGCCACACTTCCATTATGGGCCGTTTTGGGTATACTCAAGTGATGCGATGTTCATCATTGTGATTTCTGGCAACCCACAGTGGTTGTGAAGTGTTGCGATGGGGTGCAAAATGGCAGCCGGCAACCTGTAGGACCGTGGTCACCGTGGTCACCAGCCAACCAACGACTGCTGGCTCCCAATCTTTACCCTGCGCAGGTGCCAAACCCGAACCGAGCCACTTCGCAGCGCGGCTTCCAACTTCCACTGGCCCAGCAGCAAAAGCGATTGCATCTGCCATAGCTTCTGGAGTGTCTTTTTCAAGGATCGACCTGCTTTATGGTGATTGTTCATTATTGTTTCTACATGTGCTATATATGTATATAGATATCCTGCAAAAAATGAGTTTGGCGTGGGAAGAGTTTCCGAGGTAAGTGAAAAACATGCTTGCACCATTGCTGCAGCCTTCTGGGAAGAGGTGAGCAAATCTTCAACTGATTCTGCACGATTACCAAGCGCAAGGTTTTTGCAAATGGCTTCCCGTCTTTCGCAGACGGGTCATGAGTGTGAGATGTCGAACAAGTTTCAGGCATTCAACCTAACCGCTGACATCCCAATTACTGATGTTGACGTGGGATTGACTTGCTCCCACCCCACTCTGAGATTGAGTGATACCATCCAGTGCCTGGACAGGAATGGCAAAATGAATTCTTGGTTCTTCATGGGCAACACCTCAAAACAGTACCATGACTTTTGGAGCAAGTGGCGTGGTCAACAACCAATGCATCCTGTATTCGAGCTGCATGTGTCACACTTAGGACGATGTGTGCCTATTTGCATACACGCAGATGAAGGTACCTCTCAAAAGAAACGAGGGATGCTGGTTCTACAGACCCAAGTGTGCATGGGGCATGGGACAAGGAAGCGTAAAGCTGATCAAGATTCGCCTGGTGTCAATTTTGTTGGCAAATCACTTTGCGCCCGATTGGTTTACAGTGTCATGATGGCGCATGTCTACAGTGGGAAGAAGGGCAAGAAGGAGGCCAACCCCAAGCCGCTTCTACGGCTTGTGGACCATCTTGCCACTGAACTTCGCATGCTCTTTGAGCAAGGGTTGGATGTGCACTTTGAGGGAGCCCTTCAGAGGATCTGGCTTGTCCCCATCGCATTCAAAGGCGATTGGCCGGCGCTTGTGAAGATCGGGCAGCTAAATCGCCATCATCTTCGTGATACCCCGACGAAAGAGGGTGGACATGGTATTTGTCACTTGTGTAAAGGTGGTATGCCTTCAAATGCTTGGCATGATGTTTCCTTCGGCAACATGACCAAGATGCGCTCTGAGTTACCGATGCCATGGCAGCGTGAGCCAGGCATTGTGAGCAATCTGGCTCTTGGGGACGCCTACAAGCATCTGTTTTTTCGCATTGACTTGTTTCACACATGCCATAAGGGGGTCATGGCCGATGCAGGGGCGAATGCAGTCGCATCTTCGCTGCAAACAGGGCAACGTTTTTGGATGTTCGTTGGTGTGCTGTTTGGTTAATAGTTTTTCAAGAAAAGTGATCTTATAGCCGTTGACTGAGTTGGCCTTGGTCGACTTTGTCTACGAAAATGAGAGTGTTGAGAAGTGCCTTGAGCTTATCTACAGCGATCTGAAGGCATTCTGTCGCGCTGAGTCGCTGCAGTTGCATTTGCAAAGCCTCACGCGGACTATCGTGGGCTATGCGAATTCCAGTGCATTTCCTGCAGGGTTCCTTGAATGTTTCTACATTAAAATTGTCCAACCATGTGTTTATGGTTTCATTCATTTGGTCATCTTCCCTGAGACAGTGGTTTGGACTCAGGAACTGGTTCAAAGGAGCAGACACAGTGTCGATCCTTGCTTACTTGGAACAAAGGCTTGCTGGAGAGATTCCAGCACTGGAAGACAAAGTGCGTGAATATTTTGTGTCCATGGCTGGCCTGCTTCAGAATGCCAACTTGTTCATGAGAACTGTATACCATGGAGCGCTTTGGCTGGACGATCGTGAGCGTGACATCCTAATTCAATCTGGGCGGGCTTTCATGGCTGAGTTCATGACGTGCGCGCGTCTTGCGTACTCTTTCGATATGTGCAGGTGGAAGTTGCAGCCAAAGTATCATATGTTTGCTGAGCTTGTTTTTGAACTGGAAGTTCAGAAGCGTGCCGGAATTACTTCCTTGTCGCCTCTTACCTTCAGCACGCAAATGGACGAGGATTTGGTCGGGCAAATCTGCTCCAGGTCTCAGGTCGTTAGCAGCAGAACGGTTCATGAGAGGACGCTGAACCGCTACCGGGTTGCGTTGTTCACTCATTGGTAGGCCCACCACGGACACTTTGGCAAGCGCAGTCAGAAAAGACATTGACATGCAGGGTGCGATTCAGGTTTGTTGAGGTGACACCCAAGGAGGGCACATGAGAGGTCTTCCCACATGAATGGCAACATGAACAAATGTTGCTATTGGCGGAGTTGTTGTGTTCATATTTTGGTGGTGGTTGATGACGCATGCAAGTTGTCCCAGTGATGTTGGCCTCTTTGGTATACACTTCTTTGGATTGGGCTATGTGCAAAGTGTTTGTGCATCAGTAGCCAAGTTAGGAAATACAGAAAACCGTGCACTTGGAGCAGTGTACTATTTAAAAGGTACACCAGGTTTTCCAGGTAGTCACTTTGTAAAATTGAATATTTTGGAGAGAAGAGGCCTACAAGGATCAGCAGGGAGTATACAAAAGTACAGAAAACAGACCACTGTCACGAAGCTATACTGATCATTTATAGGATGTGTGCCGAGCCCCAGGAGTCAGTGAATTGGTCACCTGCTCTCCGCCAGTGTTCCGGTCAGTGTCATAGGCCGAACCGGCCAAAGCCTGGGCCTCTCGGAACCGCCGACCGACCCAACGCGCAACACGTCCATCGCCACCCAAGGGCTCTGCCCATGCAAAGAGCTGCCGGGGTGTGTACTTTTGACCCATGTCAGGATCTGGTGGGAGGTTTTTCAAACCTCCCCACATCTGTGGGTGTTAACAAATCGTCCATCACATGCCCACATGCCACCCCCGCCTCCAGAACACATCAAAACACCTGTTTCCGAACCGAGCACCTCGAGCTTTGCCTGCGCCAGTTGACCTGAAACCAACCGACCCGCTCGATCCCCTCTCCGCTAGGCTTAGAGCTTCCGGAGGACCCTCAGGAGGCCCAGCAGAGATATGTGAAGCTCAGGCGGATTCGGACCGTGGACGAGTCCGAGTCGATTGTGTGTCTTCCTTGTTTGACCAAATAAAGTGTTGTGTTGGTGTCTGCCTTGTCTTCCTTTATTCCGAGTCGTTGTGTTTCACCAAACAAAGAAGAAACACGCCGTCGTTGACGGATGAGGCAGCTGGTGCGAGAGACCTTCGAAAGCTTTTTGAGGAGCTTAAATTCCCAGTGAGGAGACTCAGACCCGGACGCGGGGAGGACTGCGCACAGAGCGTGTGAGGACTGCTCGGAGACTTTACACCCATATCATATATCTCCACAACAAGCGGCAAGTGACTTTGTTCTTTTTTGCTCCTGACCTGAGTCGATAGCAAAAACAACTCCCAGTTGCTTTGGCATCCTAGTTGCTTGCTATTATAGTGACGCTGAAACAGATGCATAGAAGCGTGAATCTCCCCCTGATACCCTATAATCCCTATGCAGATGAACAACTTTGCTTCTATCCATCCAATTCCAATATACTAGAACTCCCTGTTCTACATGAGACTTGTGACGCCTGGCATGCTCGGCCATGCTCGGCCTGGCAGGTCATTAAAATGGCTTGAGCAACAGCCCCTCTGCAGCAAAGGAGCTGTGGGAGCTGAGATATAGGTTTGCCGTTGGAGTGGCCGGACACATGCCATGAGCAACTTGTTTACTCAGTTATATTTAGGACTTCATGATTTCCGGTTTCAGATGGTGGACAGTCAGCTAGATTTGGTCTCAGAACTCCTGTCACAGGGGTGCTAGACAGACTTGTATTGACGTGGATGAACATGCTCCCCGGTTTCCCCATTCTGCTTGAATCTGTGAGACTTCAGTCAGTAGAATATCTGGATGAATGACAGCTTCATTCCCAAGTCTTGGTGAGAATTCGAGGAAGTTCTCATTCATTGATCGGAGAGGAGAGGAGTCTTGAACGGGGAGGAGTCTGGACGCAGTCTCCAAACGGCCAGTGGTCACTGGGAGTGACCACAGGATTGAGTGACCTGCACGTATTGCCGCACTGTTCCTGCAGGTGCAGGATCACCTTGCTTCACTTGTTTTGCAGGTTTCAGGCTGTTTGAACCGCTTCCTGAAAAATGCGCACGCATCGCGCAGGCATCGCGCACGCAACTCAAATTCAATGCGTTCATTTTTGACCGCCTCGCAGTTCGGCTGAGGTTTGAGCTTCATGGGGGGAACATCAACTCCGCACAGTTCTTGAAGATTTTTTCCAAGGCCTCATGTCATGGAGGGACTTGAGGATGCCTGAGTGTCTAGCGATACTGAGAAGACGGCACCTGGTGCGGTTTTGCAGAATAGGGGTCCTTTTCAATGTGGTTTTACGGAGCCAGCAAAACATCCCACAAACCATGGGTAAAACCACTCAACCCGAGCACTGGGACAGCCATGATGCTTTGCTCACAAATTCTTGTGGGGGTTGAGGTACAGAATCCTACACCTCACAGCAACACTGCTCACACTGGGAATACGGAATCATTCTTCTCCGCGTCACTTATAGTTCCAGGACCAAAATAGTCTGACAATGCATATATTTTAGGCGAGGTCTGACCGCCACTTCCGTGCTTCCGCCACTTCCGGAGACCCAATCAGCTCCTCCCCGAAGCGGCGGAGGGACGACGTGTTTCCTGCGCGCCGCCTTCTCCGTGCAGGTCTGTCCACGCTTGGAGTCCAGTGCCTTCTCCGCGGATGAGCGGAAGATGGTCCCGTGGACAATGAAAAGGAGAGTGTTGGGCCCATGGTTGGGCCCATGAGGCTTGGGTTTCCTAGAGTTTCCGATGGTTTCCATGAGAGACGTCAGGCGTTTTTGTTGGGCACGACGATGAGGGTTTGGCTTTCCGAGGGTTTCCGGTTTCCACCCTGGTGGAAGACATGTGGGACCGACACTGATCAACACGCCGATGTCAGGTAGGGAACCTGCGGATGCGGGCGTTGGGCATCAGAATGAAACTCGATGTTCATCCATGTTCAATGGATCAGGTCGACGTGGTTCTCTTCAGATTAAAGTGTTCTTGGTCCCGACCAGCAGACTTGTTGCAGCAGACAGACTTTGGAACTTATCATATATATTATAAGTTAATAAGGTAACTCTGATTATGAAGGATGATTTATATAACTCCTCAACCTTCTGCGTGGAGGTATAGAGTCTCCCAGACATGGGCCGTGGATAACTCTAACTCTACAATGTGATCCGTATCTGCATCTTTCTCCAGCAAAAGCAGCACCTTTAGACTCTGGAGAACGCTTCAAATCAGGGATGTCAAACATTTATAGCTACTTGATACTTAGTGTCATGGCAAGAAATGCTTTGGAGATATTTGGGGCGCATAGCTTCAGGTTCGCATACCAAAGATGCTGAACCTGAAGATACACCCCAAATTGACGATAGACCCTGCATAACAGTGATCAGTGATGGTGTTGAGATGTGTTGTGTTCTCATCACATTTGCTGTTTGTGGATTGTTGTAGCATCCATCCATAATGTAGACTCTTGATTCATAACACCCCCCCTATAGGAAGAGGTTGTTCAATTCAATCGGGGTGGGTTTATATCCATCACGCGTCTACATGATCCATCCCCTCTCCCTTCACTTCCATTCACGTCCCGGCGACTGGCCCCCCGAGGCCATGAAGTTTGCCGTGCTGAAGCTCTTTGAAGGCGAGCCGTGGTGGCGCAAGGGTGGTGGAGGGAGAAGGGTCGAGGGATCGGTGGTGACGGGGGTTCTGTGAAGGTGATTTGACCGGTGTTGAACAAGCCGTCTTTTGAGGTCTATGTTTGGTTGACACCAGCTACCTTAGTGTCAACGGTGGAACAGTGGAAGGTGAGTCTTGGACATGAAGGGTTGGCATTGTCAGACATATGTGAGATGGATCTCACCGTTCCAGTGCAATATATAGCTGTTTCATGCTGTTTAACTTGAAGTCGTCCATATATAGTCGTCTTTATGTTGCTTTAAATCTATACCTCCACATCCTAAGCGGGCACAGGCGGTTTCACTCGTATACCAGAGCTGTTGAAGCTATTTACTGTTTTTGGTGGTTGGTATTCTGCACCAGTCCAGAGGTGGCACATCCTCCATTTCTCCTGCTGTCGAACGTCGAACGTCATGCCGCAGCCTGTGTATGGTGGTGAACGTGTGTGTGTGTGTCCAGTGTGGGCACGGACTGGGGCACGGAGTGGTGACCTGGCTCTTTTTTTGTTTGACTCCTATGTACACCTTATGTACACCTTGTATTATCCTTGTATGTGTTTTGGAAACATCCTTGGGTTCGCATCCTCTTAGGATCCTCAACTCATGTTTTTGTGTGTGTGTTTTTCCCTAATTCTGATGAACTTCGAGCAAAGGACTTGGTGATGATGGGTTACAGTTACAGTTTTTGGTTTTCTTTGGTTTCCTTCTTTTGAATTGAATTGAACAGCTTCTCATTGGTCGCACACGACGTTTCCATGCACAAAACATCGGTGCCGCAGGTATGGACGTGGACACCTCGGGGGAGACTTCGTTCGGGGCGCCGAGCAGAGACGATGGAGACGTGGCCGCCGAACCTCATGGCGTCAAAAAGCCACAGTGATGATATAGTATATATAGCTACTATTAGCTTCTTGTTATATACTAGATGTTACTGATGGCTTCCAACCTAATAGCGATGGCTATACTAGTCTGTCCGAACTTACCTGTAACAGTCAGTAAACAAGCACATCACTATTTTTGAATAAGGCCTACAAACTGAACCATCATCCACTGTTATTGGGAATAGGATAGACCCAAGTGATATATATACCCTCCCTCCAACCATGAACATGGGCCATGCGCAGGGCCCCTGCAGGAGTGTTTGAAAAGTGCTTCACCAAAGTTGAAACATGGGTACAAGCGCTAGGAACAAACGGCTTGGAAGCAGATATTTGGGCAGCATCGAGCCCCCATCCCAAAAGAATGATGCGGAAAGACTTGGTGGTAATTTGTCAGACTCTTGTTGGACAAACAACTGTACCACGTTCATTGATAAGGCTTATATATTTTTAGTGTCACTTTCATGGCTTATATTGGCTTATCCAAAAGAAGCTAGGCCATACCGGTATACCTACACAGTACCAATCCAATACTATTATGACCTTGTGGAATATATGGTGGTGCGTGAAATCTACTTCTACCATTTGTCATTTTCCCAAGCTCTCCAGAGAGTTATCCGAGCAAGAAGCAGCCTCGCGACTGGTCATGGATGAGGTGAATCGCACTCTGGTATTTATTTAAGGGAAGCCTTCAAGACAAAGCAAGCAAAACGATCCCTACAAGTCCAAAGACCAGTACAACCAGGTCTTTTACCTTCTTGAAAGGTTCTTTTGTATGACCAACTTCAGTAGAATGATGTCATTGAGTCATTGACTTGTAGGGTATAATGGTAGTCGGCAGTTGACAACTCCTGGTATTAACACTCGGACTGTTCACATAGAAGTCACGAGCTTTTGGTTCCAACTAAGGAACTCCAACCATCCACATACAAAGCTGCACTGATTTGATCGTATTTGTCTCATCGTTGCACCGTTGGTAAGTGAAGCATAACACTGCTGGTCACTTAAACAAACAACACCTCCACTTTTTTGCGATGCCTGTTTGTGAACAAGAAAAGGGAACGCGGTACAATGTGCCTGTGCGGTGCAGCTTTAAACCGACCCTTAGATCACTCCCGGGGCAGCTGCGTGGGCTTTTAAGGTGGATGGAGTTTGTGGAGTTCATCAGTGACGCTCAGCGACCAATAGTTGATTTTCTGTTGGTTTGAACCGTTTGGGGCAGAAAAGAAGGAGTTGTTGGTCTTTGATGTTCATAAGTTCATAAGCGACATGGTGTATGAATGCGTTAGGTAAGTTAGGTTGGTGTGGACCACATTGACGAAATTAGGGCCGATTGGAAGCAGGACAGGTGATGTTGAGGTTTGCTGCAGGTGTTGCAGTGTTTTTTGGATGCTACTTTCTTGACTGATGGAGGGGAGGGGTAAACGCTCCTGTTCTTTTCTTGCCGGATGCTCTTCTATAAATTATTACAAACTATAGAGTTGTTTGGTTGGTTTTGATTGCTATGTGGTTGGCTACCTTAAGCGCAAGACATCACTGTTTTGGGTGCACATTCAAGTAATACGGTTTGCTGAACTCCGTTTTGCCTTTGTAGTGCACACGTCTACCAATGAAGAAGATACAACGTCTACCCGCATGGTGAAGTCTTTGATCTCCAACATCTTTGCTTGTCAATTTACAGCAGATGGGTCGTATGTCATGGTACTGTGTTCTCTCGTTGACCGGTTGCTCAATGACAGATGGGTCATCTCCCCACCGAACAAGGCAACATAAGTCAGTATGGAATGAATCAACTCCTACATGTCTTGTATTATATGAATCAACTCTTACTGGATATTGGGTCTCTATCCGGGATGAGCGAACAAATCAGTGTGCAGCTCCCGTTTCTCCACGTGTCGACCCGTGTCTTTCCTGTGCCCGAACCGGCTGGGCGCCAGGCGGTCGCAGAGGAGTTGCGCTTGAAGGCGCAAGAGCTGTATCTTGGGAGAGATTCATCTTCCGGTTTTCGTGACCGGACAGGTCTGGTTGGCTCAGATTTGGGAGAGTTCCAGGTCCTTCCAGGTTCTGGTTGGAGAAGCAGACCCTCCGGACTGCCTCCGGAAGTCTGGATTCCGATGGGCTTTCTTCCTTCCCGGACTCTTCTGGGTAGTGGCTGGCTGGGAGTGGAAGACATGTGGGTCCACACAGCCACCGAACCACCGAAACTGAAATTCAATCTACTGTATCTGTTGGGTTGTTGAAGCAAATTTGTTTTGCTTGTTTTGGGGGTGGCAAGCTGAGGCAACCAATTCCGAAGAATCGGATGGTTTTCGTTCTGAATGTGCAGTTGTTTTGAAAAGGATGGTTTTCCGTAGTTGTTCCATGTTGTCAAAGTCTTCATTCACCTCACGCTGGTGTTGCGCTATGATATATGTGCTTTGATGGGATTCACAAGTTCTTCCTACACCAGAAGGCTGTAGGTCCATAGGCCCGGCCTTCTAATCAAATCTAAGACTAGACTTCGGGACTTTGGAACAAACCAAACCGTGCCAAACTGTGCAGAGAAAAACCCTTCCGACGCAACTCGAGTCGAGGTCTGGGCAAATCTTCGAGTTCTCGGCCTCCGTGCAGGTGAAAAGAGAGGGACTCTTTTGGGGGGTCCAATGGACACGGACCTAATCAAGCCACTCCCCAAGAGGGGACTAATACCTCCTCTTTGGGGAGTTATATATGTTGAATAGATATTTCTGGAGGTTGGAGGTGACCTAATTAAGCTTCCGGGACTCTTTCTGGGAGGTGAGCTAAGATTCCAGGGACTCCAGGGATAGTTCGTAGAAGTCGTGTTGTGCAAATGTCCCGGACGTGCCACTGACCTTTGGTCGAGAACTGGACACGCCATCTGCAAAAGCTTCTCCCCCCAATCCAATGGATATATAATCACGATAGTGATCAGGATAATATAGACGATTTCCTCAATCCCAATTGGACGCTAGCTGTTCACGACACGACAATTTGGCCAGTGAAAGGCTGTGCAGCTTGGGTTCTCAAGTCCAATTACAGTACTTGATAAAGTCTATAATATTTAATAGCCCAAGTAATGGCCTGTTTACGAAGGCTGGAAAGTAGGATTGAACTCGTTCGTGTCAGGTCCCGACTTCATGTTGTGTTATGTGACGATTTTCCAGCTGTGTGAGAAGCGCAGAAAAACTGCAAGACATGAGCACCTCAGAGGTGTCAGAAGCCTCTCGAAAATGAGTCAGAATGAATCAGAAGCCTCTCAAGGCGTGCACATCCCCAGAATCGATCGCTTGCAAGATTCATTGCGGCCATCCCGGAGAAAAAGGCAACCTCGATGGCATTTCTCATGTTTTCCCAAACAAGGGAATTCCCAAAAGGAGTAAATGCACATGGCTATATTGTGATCCCCAAAAAGATAGAACTGGTTTCCAATACACTTTAGTGGGGATCTACTTCTCTATCTATATGGCGGGCGTCTATATTATATACATGTCATTACATGGCTCAATTCCCTTGATCAGTTCATGGCCGAAGCCGTGCCAGGTGGTGCTTCCGGCTTATCGACCTACCGTCACCAAGCTGGACCCCCAAACCGACCTCGGCAGTGGGGGCGGGGGTCTTCAGCTAGAGCTGGAGACAAGTTACCAAAAGATGAGAAGGAGCAGTCTGATGTGCTTGTTGAATTCAAGTCTCATGAGTTGATGGGATCTGATGATATTGGATCGATCTATCCAGTGCGGCTTTGGGATCTTGGCTTCGGTTTTTCTTGGTCACACGTACTGGCAACACCGTGCAGGTTCCCCATAGTACTTATCAGTGGAGAGGATGACTCATATATGTTTAGTGGCACATATTCTGAATGGGCTTCGTGTATGAACGTAGATGTACGTGTGGAGGGTTTTCTCAGGGGGGATTGAGATCTTGCATGATGAGCAATGTGGGCGTAATTTCGGCCCAGTGCCTTGGATGCATTCCGGACATGGACATGGACTTGTTTTTGTATTCAACAGTGTGGTTTCCAAAGTGACCTGATTTCGTTTCTATATATACACCAGATTTACGATGATGCTGCATTGGCATCATTCTATTCATCATTTGGTTCAGTGAATAGACAGGTTCAAACCGATGGAGCTGAACGTCCTCGGAGATTCCCACGGAATCGCAGAGCATCTGCTGCGGACCTGCCAGGTGCCACTTTGACAAGCTCTTCTATTGGCCCGGGACACTCAGGCTTCAGGTCCGTTTTTTGTTTTTCGAGCCCCCGGGACACTCAGGCTTCAGGTGTGTTCTTGTTTTAGGCCAACGAGCCAAGTGTCATTGAAGTTTTGCATCTTGCAAAATGATGACATGATTTCCATGTCACAAGTGAGTTCTTTGTCCCAGAATGGTCCCTACAAGTCTTTTTGATGTGCGGGCCAAACTCTATGATGATGTCCTCCTAGCCCGCCGGCCAATGCTACACGTGCAGGTTCCATGTTCCTACTGCAAAGAAACCATCAGATGTTCATCAAATCATATAATAACAAAATAATATCTGAGATATATATCTTGGAAACAGCTGTAACTTCAATCATTGCCAAAACAAGCAGATCGATACGCCCATGTTTGAGTTTGGCATGTTTGTTTGTTTTTTTCAAAAGAGAGCTGCTCATCCCCAAGTCATGATGGCTCGTCCCTCAAGTCATAGTCCGTTTTTTTGAGCATTCTCTATTTTTTTGCATAATACTGTAATCCACTAATTATTAGGACAAAGTGACAATCGCTTGATTCTATAGTGTTCCCTAAGTTAAGAGCCAAATTAGATCCTTCACCATGAGGAGTACCATAGCTAGGTCTTGCAGATGCTTCATGTCTCAGGATCTTTTTTGTGCCGATGTCACAGAATGCAATTAAGTATACCTGACTGTCTTGCAAGAGACCACCTGACTGGGTGTTTGTGGTGTTTTCAGACCTGCAACGACCTGCACGGTTCCGCACGGTTCCGTGGTAGCGGTGCGGTCCAACACTATGAAAGGTGCGGTGCGGAACAGGGTTTCGATTTGTGACTGGTTTGATCAAAGAATTTGACCAAACCCGACCAATTGGTTGAAGAATCTGACTAAAATCTGTTGACCAGAGCCAATCCAACTAGCCAATCCAACTTGGTTTGACCAATTGATTCCTGCTTGAGGCCTGGGCTTCCCATGGAGTGTGCGGTGGTCTTCGAGGAGGGCCAGGTGCACCGTTCCCGCAGGGCAGAGAGACCTAGAAGCTGAGCTGACCCACCACCCTTGGCAGCTCAAAACTGACACATTTTAGGTTCGTTTCGATGGTCTCAATGGTTCAGATATGTTCAGATGGTCTTTACAATAGCAAAACAAGGAGAGACTTCTTCCACGTCAGCGCCGACTGAGCGCTGTGTTCCTGCCGACTGGGACCAGGCGAGCTTCTTCTTACATCGACAGCAGAGCATGCTCCGACGCCGCCGTGGGGAGCCCGGAGGGACTCCGTTCGAAGGAAAGATTGGAGCTCCGCCAAGGTTGGAGATGCTTTCCCAAAACGTGTCCCACATGCTCAGGTCATCTCAAAGTGTTTTTTTGGTTTGAATAAACATGTATATAAGTTTCTTTGTGTGATGGTTAAGCCGCCACCTTTGAGTGGTGGATCCTGCCTAAGTTTCGAAGAACCCTCAGCCTGAGGTGTTGATGGGCACCAGAGTGATCTACTCTCAGCGGCCTTCTTGCAGGGTGCCCAGCAAGTTGTTGGTTCAGAATCACTGGCACGAACCGACTACGTAGGAGCTTCCTTGGACTTGAGATCTGGGTTGCAATGAAGAAAGACACGTCTTGGCATTTGTGCCATCATATGCCATCTACTTGATAAGTGAGTGGCCCTTCTTGTTCCACAACGACCTGTGTGTGTGGAATCCCAAAAGGGGATCTTTGGGATCAACGAGACACTCGAAAAGAGCGCAGGCTTCCGGTGTAGAGCACCGGACCGGACCTATGCGACAAGTCGCAGTGTGAGAAGCAAGACCCAAAGAGCCAAAGGGCTTTCATTCTATATTATATAACTTGATTTTAATGATGGACGGTCTTCTGGGCATGGCTTTGTGATGTGCACTCTCCCGACACTAGCAGAACGCAAGTCGTGAAACATGAGACAACATGTTTCAATCTCCGATGTACTGCATGAATGTTTATGCTGCCATTCTCCTTTCATGAGGGTGCTGCTTGTCAGCCTGTTGGCTAGCGGCTTAGAGCTTTGAAGCAAACCCGTCCAAAGCTAATAGATCGGTAATATCTATAATATATATATATATATTACATGTTATGTATATCCCACATACCATGTTATGCGCAATTTCGGAGTATCCCACATACACCATGTTATGCGCGATTTCGGAGCTGACTTGGAGCGCAGGAGCTTGGATGTGTCCAACTGTTCTTTGAATCTTTGTCTTCCTTCGCTTTCGCTCACACATGGACTTGTCCACCGCCTACCGTATTCTCATACCATCTCATACCAACTCATCGCTTCCCAAACAGATCGATTTGAGACGCTTTGAGACGCTTTTCTCCGGACTGACCTCGGTGGTTTCAGGGAGAGCTAAGGCAGGACATCAATTTGGTGGTGACCTCGGGGAACGACAAGACCTTGTGCTTTTGGGCCGGGGCGCCCGACGAGAGACGGCGACCGGCAGCACCCGACCGTCGGAGGGGTCGACCGTGCTGTCGACCGTCTCGGAGCTGGAAACGTCGCAGGACGACGACGGTGCTTTCAACATCGACTATAGATGGGGAAATCGTTGCTGTATCTCAGTACTTACTTTTACATGCAGCGAGTTCCACTGTCCCAATGTAGACTCTTGATGATTAAGCCCAGACACATTGGTTGCGCGGACTTGCGTTTCAAGGCTCTCACTGGATCGCCCCTTGCTCTTTGGTAGAGCGGGTACGGGTGGGTCTTTGCCTCGAAAAGAGAGTGAGTGAAAAACAGCTGAGCTCTTCATATGGAGGGGTCTATTAAATCAAGTGGACACTAGAGTAGTATCCAGTTCTGAAGCTTGAGCTTGAGACTTTGTGGGGACCCTGGGTGTTTTCATGTCGCCGTGCAACAGATTTTTGGGGTGTTCTCCAGGAGCCGCGCAGAAAAGGGATGTGCATGAGCTGAAACTGCAGGGTATGTAGGTCGGATGGGAATTTAAAGAGGCATTATAGTTGAATATGTAAACGATGAAGTTTTTGGTGAAGTGAAGTGGAACACCGAGCATGTAGTTTCACACCATTAATTTGACTCCAAAGCACAAACCAGGACAGATATAATCCAAAGACACCTTGCACCAATCAATTTGCGTTGGTCCAATACTCAGTGCCCAAGACCTCGCGAATCTGTTGCTTTTGCCCAAGACATCCGAAGACGATCATCAGGAGTCGGTCCCAGTTGATCTCACTTCTCACCAAGTCGTGAACACGTGACTTCGACTGTTCTCCTCGTCCACGGAACAGGTTGATCCGTTGATCGTACACCCCGGGAAAAGGTTGATCTGACCGGCGGGGATCTGATCAAAAGGAACTGAGGACCCTCACAACCCCCCGAGTAGTGGACCGGACCAACATGTGGGTGGCTCAATACAGGGGTCTCCCTGCTATAGGCAATGATTTCTGACCTGGAAGAATCTGGAGGTTGAAATGGACCAATTGAACAAATTGCTTGGATGTCTTCCTGAAACACACACCCTGAAATGTTTGAAAAAGATCCCTTTCTCGCCCCTGGCTGGGTCGGCGGTTCCGACTGGTTGATTTTCTTTTCCAGACGTCTAAGGTCCCTTCAGTTGCTTCAGGTCCCTTCCGGGGTCCCTTCCGCAGTCCCCCCGGAGCTTTTCGGACCGAGCGGGGTTCGCTCCTCAGCTTTGGCTCGAGCGTTGGACCGAAAGTGCTCAGCGAACGGAGACGACCAGCTGCGTCCGGCGAAGCTTGGACTCCACAGAGTCGGGTCCCGTCGGGGCTTCAGAGATCTTCGGAGATCATTTTGCGGAGGATTTGCGTTGGATGTGAGTGGATGTTGCAGTTGTGGGCTGAACGTTCCGCCTCCAAATCCATTCCTGAAAAACTTTGTGCAAGCCCTGGCTGATTTTTTTTTGTCCAAACCATTTGGACACCTCACATGTGGGCTGCTGGCTTTGTGAGATTCCGGGAGGTCACGACCATCCTTTCCCTGGTGCGTTTTCTTTCACAAAACGATCGTTGAACTACGACGACCTGACATCGGAGAGTAACATACATCATACATCGAAAAAAAGAACATATGACTGACATAAAGCTGTGCAAAGGTTCACGGTTCTGTAGCTTTTGTTTGTTTAGGATTTGGATGATTTGGTTTCCAGGATATGTGTATATCATTAAGTCAACATTGAATATGTTATCGAAGTCCCTGCCTGCACCGCAGGAGTTTCTCCCATGAAATCTCAATACTACCTCTTGAGTTGTTTGTTTCGGTTTGAGGAATTCTGGCATGAAAGGAATATGGAGTTGCACACCAATCTGGCATGTGGATCCGTTCTTAGCAGCCAAGTATACCCAATAAAGCTCCCAGGTGGTTCGACATCAAACGGCTCCATGCCTGAGCGACATGGACAGATCCACAGGTTCTACTTTATAGATCTGGAAGTTCTACTCTACTTTCGATGGGACCTGAGAAACTCACACTGCCTGGGCGGATCGCATACCAGGCGCCATGGAGTCTGAGAAGGTCGTTGATGTGTGGTCCCAAGAGGCCTATCAGTCCTCCTACCGGACTTCTTATTGCAACCACGAGCAGAACTTCGCGGATCATGTGGATCGGGTGCAATCCTCCAATGCTGTCCGTTTGCTCTTGAAGAGTGCAGGACTTGACGTTAAGACTTTGGTAAAGGTGAGTGTGTTGTTTTGTTGGGATGAGTGTATGCAGAAGGTGTCAGACGACTTGGAAAACATCTTACGTAAATTTGAGACCATATATAATTATAGATGGGAAGCATGACAATATGTTTTCTACAGTATCCACCTAACTATATAATGTAAACAGAGTTGTAAACAGTGCTTCGTCCTTCACAGCTCCTGACCCCAAGATCCCCCATGTTTCGGCCAGCGCAGGAGACCCGGGCGCGGCCCTGCACATGGGCACATGGGATGAAGCCGCACGAACGGGCGAAGGCACCGAACGCGCCTCGGCGTGGATTCACGCAGCCACGGCTCCCACCGCAAAGGGAACGGAGCAAGGCTGGCCTTACTACCAGGTACAAGAAGCTACCCAAAAAACGGCTCGGAATCCTATAAAACTTGATCAAAATTCCCAAACGGCTTGGGGTGCCGAAACGCTCGCGTGACCGGAGTGCGGTCGGGATCATGGCGATGAGGCCATGCATGAGGCGATGGTGGATGGACTGTGGGGAACGCACCGACCATCCGCAGGGAACAAAAGCAACACAGTGGATGGATGGACATAGATGTGGGTGGGTAGGCGGGTGGATGGGTGCATGGATGGATGGATGGATGGATGGATGGATGGATCGGATAGATGATAGATGAATTCGATGTGCATGGACATAATACAGGCACTGGCACTGGTGCCAAATGGCACCAACTGGTGACCAATCATTCATCTCCATCCCATGTTAACTGGGGGAAGCGAGTATTTAATGTTGACATTATCTTGACCATGTACTGCCGCAAATGGTATGCATCAGAATGAGGGAACGGCCATGTCACCACTGTCACTGTTTAGCACCGGAAGATCAAACTAGCCAGGGAAGACACGGTGCTTGAAGCCAAACCTGGAGCCCACCGACACCTGACACCTATGGCCTAGGACCTGCTTCGCGGATGCTGGTGAAAGAATCTACCTACCGCGCCAGCTACCGGCATGATGGTTCCCTTCCGGACACTGGGGTTGGAGGGTGGGGGGGATTTGTTGTTTTGAACACCCTGTCTAAATGCACCATTTGACCATATTTGGCTAATCCAAGCAAAAACCAGGATAGGTGTGTGGCAAGAGGACAAGGAACTGGCAAATTGGAAACTCAGACTTGTGCTCCCCCAAACACATGAATCACGTACTGAAATCAATTGAACAGCGATAGGGACCACCAGCACCGATACCTTGAGATGCAAAAAGCTGACGCAGTGGCCGGACTCGTGTGAAACATTGGGAAGCAAGAGGGCCCACCCAGTTTGCAGTGGCAAGTGCGAGAAATGCAGTATGTTGTCATAACTTGCTTTTTTTGCTTCAAAAATAATCAATTTGGAGTTCTAGGATCAGGCCATGTCTTGACCCTTTCATCAGCACAAAGCCCAGATAAAGTTGTTGCTTTGATGGTGAATACCGAAACCACTCATAAGGCTGTTGTTTAACGAGAGAACTTGTAGCAGCCTATTTGAGAAAAAGGAACGTTGAACCAACAGACCAACAGTGGAACAGTGGGTATACAAGGGTTAAACATGGGTTACATATACATGTTGTTCATGTTGCTGGGATCGTGGCACCATGTTGCTGGGAGTCAGGACTTGGATCCTCACCTGGAGAGCTTTCGGCCCGTGGTGATTCCCAAACGCCCTCGCACATCGGCGGGGAGCTTTTGAAACCGGGCCAGCGCTGAGAGCAGCCAGTTGGGCCGGTCCAAATCACCCCATGGGGTTGCCAGTTGACCGATCTGGCTGCCAGCATGAAGACACAGAGAGTGGTTTGTTGCCTTATTGTTGAGACTCGACAAACCCCAACAATAAAACACAAACATGGGCTCGGCTCAGCTTAATGGTGTTTTTCATTCTGGCCTCTTTGTTGTTTTATTCTATTTGCGTTGGACTAGACCATGCTGTGTGTTGGCCCTGTGAATGACATCGAACGGACCTAAGAAAGAGCTCATGTGTGGTCCGCCCATTCGGCCCATTCGGACTCGTCCGCTGTAGGGAAGCACAACTGAGGTGGCTATGTCTAGCGTATTCTTTTTGCCTTTCTGGGCAGAACTATGTATATAGAGTCCTTCATTTTGAGAGAATCCCAGGGTGTGTAGCGGTATGTTGAGGGCTGGAGCCAGTGTCGTTTTGCTGGCTTTCACCCAAGCTTGGCGCTGTAGCAACTGCTACATGTTGGCAGATTCATCTTGGATGTCAATGATTCATGAAGACATTCCGATCATGGGAGGTTCTTGGTGGGTCCATGAGTCCATGAGAATCTGCAGTTTGGCCATGCAGAGGGCATGGGTCAAAAACGAACACAGCCGATTTTGGGCAACGAAAACACCTCTTTGACCCATATCCAGGTATCAACCGAAGTGGCAACGATCCACACTGGTATCGCATGGTTAGGGCGGCTAGTTTCACCAGTTTTGGCCAGTTTTTGTGCCGTTCACATGGGAACAGGTGGGTGACCATGTGCGTTCACTTGCAAAGCAAGTGAGGTAGCCCAGCCGCAAGTGGAAAAGGAAGCTGCACAAAGTCTGGGGCAGAATTACCCACCTTGTGCTTGGGACAACAGAATTACCCACCTTGTGCTTGGGACAAAAGAGTGTACAACATATACAATACATAACCTTATTGTCGAATTAACAAACTGCAAGAAAAGACAGGGCACATTGTTGCACCAATGTTCTTGTCGGGTCCATTTAGTCTGATTTGCCTGAAGCCTCGCATTAAAGAAACCTCGATGTGACAGGTCGTTAATTACATGTCACGAACATGTGTTGCAAAAATGTGTTTCGGTTCGTTTGGCTGATCTTGAGAAAGCTGTGCCTCTCAATCATCCAAGGGTGAATGTATTTGCTTCTCAAAAGCTTCGTCTACAACTGCCTGAGGTTTGGTCCTGGAAGGCTCACCCATATCTTGGCTCACCATCGACTAGAGAAACACACAGAAACGCGTTTTTTCAGCAGAGCTGGCAAGGTGACATCGGGCCAGCAAGTCTTCCGACAACAAGCGGTGCAAGATTCTTACTGAAACCACACCTCCGCAAACAACCTCCAAACACCAAGCAGAGCTTCCAAAATGGCCCTTCAACGGATGTCAACCTGTGACGGCTTTACAATCCAAATCAAACGATGTGTCTCTCATTCAGTCACAATTGAAGTTTCTCTATATACATGTCTTCTCCAAGGTGTTGCTCATCACCAACAGTTCGAACCCGGGCAATGCTTTTCCGAGTACGACTTGTTCATACTCATCTTCCTGGTGCTGGGCACTAGCTATACACTATGCTGCCAGCTTTAGGAGGAAACTCAGGTGACCTCAACGCAGTTTTTTCAGAATCTGAGAATCATCGGAACTTCCACGCCGAACTCCGATGACTCTCTCGGCAGCCAAGTTCGGCGAGTCAAAAAGAAAAGAGCACAAAGGGAGAATGCAGATGGACAATGCACACGTTCTCAGAGCGACCCTTGTTGCATCTCGCGTCGCCAGCTTGATCTCCCCACCTCGATGCCAGCTCCGCCGAGTTGCTCGCGGGGCTGCGGGGCAGCGGGCGGGCCTGGCGGGGTTGGCGAAAGGGCAACAGTGGGCCGACGTCGCCGCCGAGGAGAGCACCGCCTTCAACTTAGTGAAGCGTTGGAGTCGGGGACCCTGGAGCAGCGGCGAGGTCGTCAGCGCGAGCGAGGGACCAGCTCGGGACCTGCTGTCCACCTTGGCCTGGCGATGGGCATGGGTGAGTTTTGGTGTGTAGAGAGTCTATATTGGTGACCTGCTGTCATGATGAAAGTGCTTGGCATGGGCGTGTGGCATGGGTCACTTCAGATTCTGCGCGGCGTGGGTCTCTTCAGGATTCAACCTCCAGGTAAGAACACGTTTTTTGCGGAGCTGATTCAGGTTCGGAGTTGGCCCTCATTTCCTTCCAGGAGGAAGGGAAAGTGAGAGGAAATTTGAGGTTTTTGGGAAGACCGACGCGCCGGAAATGACCCGTCTGAAGGTCGCGGGAGAGCCCCTCATCCTCGGTGGTCCGGTCCTCATCTGTTCGACGTCCGAAACGCCCAGCTCAGGTTTGAAGGATGTGGCTGGGGTTCTTTGCTGGTGCGCCGAGATCAATGCATGGAGAGCCCAGTCACAGCGAAGTCGTGGTTTCAAGTGGCTTGCGATGGAAGTTGAAGGTTTACACATGTTTTAAACAATTTTACACATCAGCATTTGTGAAGCTGATTCATTCTGTTTATGGTTTCATAAACTGTGAGCAGGTTGCCTATCCTTTCAACCTAAGCGGATCAACATGTGGTTTGTAGGACTATATATATATTATAGTCATGGTTGGATTTGAACTGTTTCAGAATCCAATATGAGTGCTTCTTCGTGAATGCTTCTCTTGATGGGGGTTTCCCAAGCGATGACTTGGGATAGACGTACAGCTTGTGCTTCAGGGGTCTTTTCATCCGCTGGCAGGTTTCCCAGGCGTGGCCTTTTTCTGAGAGCTGTGCCTTCATGGCATCAATGACGAGCCATCTCATGTACTATAGTATTGAGTACCCTTTGCCTTAGAACCAACTGCGATTTCCAACGTTCCACAGTCTTTGATGTATTCGAAAGGACAAGCAAGCCGAACAATGGAGCTTTCATCAATTCAACAGCCAAATCCATATCCAAAAGTACTCGGTCCAAGTGTCGACAAAATCAACATTCCAACCCACAGGATCTGCAGAACTCACTCGGTCCAAGTGTCCCATGTCACCAAGGCGCTCTATGCTGCAGATCATTTCACCGAGCGATTCTGGGGCTGGCGCATTCTCGACGAGCTGGAGGTGAAGACGTGCCTCGTTAGCGACATGAGTGAAGCGCGATGCCTTTTGCCAGTTGAAGGTGGTATGGAACGAGGGAAAGATCCATACAAAACACATCAAAACACACAGATTGATAGAATGCTCGTGTGGGAAGGATAGGGTTACTTTACACATCTGTACACATTTCAATAGTTAGAAGCACCGCTGAAATACCCATTCAGAAATTCAGATATTTGGTCTCTCACGTTGATGCTGATTCTTATTGTCCGTTGTGCTGTTATATATACATCTGACAATTCAATATCTTTGTACTGTGAGGAGATTCCTTTGTCGAACAATCCTTTCAGCATTCATGAACAACACAAACGACCGAGCGGAGGCAGCAACATTTCGCAACCTACGTTGGGGGATCAGATGGCCCCAAACAAACGCTTCAAACCTCCACATGTCCTGTCTGGAGTTCCATGGTCAGCTTGCTATGGTTGCCTCTGGATGTTCCCCCGTTCGTCTCTTCCAGCCTTTGCTCTATGGAGATCGGAGTCCAGACTCGCTGGAACTTGGGTTACGTAGATGACACGGGCCTTCAAAAGAACATTTCAACATAGCAACTATAGGGGGTTGAACTCCACTTCCATGTTGCTTCCAGGGTATGAAAGAGATGCCTTCGAAGTGGTAGTGGAACGCATTGCCCACCCCCATCCTCCAGACACTTCTCCCATATGGAAGTCCTCCTTGCCTGCGGCCCGAGGACGGGCCACGGGGGGATGAAGCCCGAGAAGGCGCTCGAGCCACTTCACCTCCAAAGGGATGAGACGGACTGGGCGGGAATGTTTGGCAGAGCCTCCGACAGATGGTGTGAAGCGCAGAAAGAAAAGAAACACGAGATGATCAAGATTCGACCGTCATGTAACATGTATAATAATGTCACTTCTGATGATGATTGAAGCTGCTGGAATATCAATATCAGTTCATGAAGCACTGTGGCCCAAAAGATGTCACACCTCTGGTTGTCGACATCGGATCGGATGTGCTGAGGTTCAAGGTGGGCCACAGCAAGGCAATTCAGGCGCGCTCCGCTCCGATCGCCGATCCGGAGGGCAGCGGCGAGTCGTGGTCGTGGGAGAACACGGAGAGAGAGGATGGCAAAATCGCACATCAAGAGGCCATAACCCATCCCCGTGAGTTTCCACTCTACACCGTTCGGTAGCATATATACTTGTTGACTCAACCGGAGGGCAGCAGTACTCTGTGGAAACGCTTGGCATTTAACGAAATCCTGGGTTTGTGATTGAACTGCGTAGCGGACGAGTGCGGGATTTCAGTGGTTTTCAGTCATGCGGTCATGTTGAAACACCCTGTTGTGCATAGGGGTGTTGTGCATTGGTTGATCTTGCAAGCTGCGGGGTGTATATTTGGCCTGAACTCGTCCATGACCAGGCTGGAGAATCACCAGCTCCGGAGAATGGTTCAGATGAATTAAGCTATCCTAAATGGATTTAAAGGGACTAGTAGATGGTATGAGCGAACATTTCCGTGTTTTACCATTCTGAATGGTGGAATGTGATCAATGGAGATAGCAACGACCAGGCAGGGATTAACAGTTGCATGATGTTATGTGTCATGAATTGGGATGAACATGGCAGGACTCGCAAGAATTTGACTCTAAATGCTCACATCTTAATTATCCAATGGAAGGATTCGGAAGGCAATTTGGCAAGTCCTTTGCATACGGATAGCCCCTTTCTGTACTACTTGGTGCAAGAAGATGAATGAGAACCCGCTCACGAACCTCAGGGTTCACCAGATCCACCGCAGCGACCGTAGCCGTAAACACGGCGTGATGTCTCAGGTGATGAAATGGCTTGAACCCTTGCAGTACAGACCCCAGCAGAGCTGAGCAGTGGGCAGAAGGGCGGAGCGGCGGAGCTGGAGTCCTTTTTGGAAGACGAAGCAAATGATCCTCCTATTATGCTTGAAGTCGAAAACCCGTTGACGACACCTCGTGCTTTTTGGCATAAGAGGATAAGCAATACATTGTGACATCGCTCCCTGCGCCCCCGTCCTTCACCTCCCGTGGCCTCCCACCCGCCTGCCACGTCGGTGCCTCGTCAGGTGCTTGGCGACCGCCTCGCTGGACACCACGGTGCAGATCTTCGACACCGTCCTCCAGGGCCGAACGCACGTGCTGAGTGGCCACAGCAAGGGTTTGGGGCGCCCGGTCGGATCGTACGGTTAGGATACGGACGGATCGGGGGTCCTATACGCGTCCTGCTTGGTACGAAAGGAACCAGGAAGACGACCCTAATCTTCCCCAGAGAAGAGAAGAAGTCTATGGGTGAATGGTGTTGCTTTTGGTGAGACAAACCCAGTTCCTACCGGGTGCCACTACTTTGGAGAGTGAAACACCACCAGACATAGGATGACAAAAACCCTTTCGCAGAGGTTCTTAGCCAAGAGGCTACCTGCTACTCTCAAGTTGAGGAAATCACAATTCTTTCTGGTTCTCCAGGTTGAGCCTGCATATCCCAAATGTGTGGCTTGCAGCAGATTTGTCGCGACAGCATCAGACAATGAAGGCAGTTGGCGGACGAAGCTTATGGCTTGTTTGAACAGCCTGTGCTCAAGCAAATGTGCATGAATCAGAATCCTGCTTTGTTAGCATAATTAGCATTAGTTGCTTATTGATGGTGCCGTTGGGTTTCAATGTGCGTTTTGGTTTTCCCCAAGGAAGCACAACTGCACAAGTGGCAAGTTTGAAGTTCTTGTGTCCAGAACCCAGACTACTATACTCTAGTAATTACTGGCATGGATCTCTACATTGAGACCCAGAGGTCATCAATCCTATCACACATATTTATTTTGCACTCCTGCATGTTGTTTCATATCTTGGTGGTGGGCTCCTTGACTAGTCTTGGTGTGAATGCCCTAACTGTAACCAGGAATCAGACCAACAAATGACTTTGATGTATTGCTTTGCCTGTGAGCACCCCCCTCCACTCGTCTTGGTGCCACTACCTCCTTCGCCCACTAGCTCAACCCACCATGCGCCCCATGCACCGGACTGTGGTCTTCACACGGCGAACGCAGCTAGTGCAAGCGCAGCGGCTCACGCTGTTACAGCGGTGTAGTGGATGGAGGCACAAGAGGAACAGCGGGGGACGGCTCCCGCCTTGGAGGTGGACTGGTGCTGGTGACCAATGTAGCCTTGATGAGTGCATGATAGAAATTCAATCCTGCCAGAGAAGGGTTGGTATGGCAGTTGGCATAATGTTGGCGTTGGTTTCTTTTCATACTTTTCTCAGCAGTCTTCGTCAAAGACCTCTCCTGAACAGTTTGTGTTCCTGGTTCAGACTAGTGAATCATTGTGATAGGAATATGTTGGAAGCAATGGATGATGCGGCCGAGTCAGCCCAGCTCCCAGTGGGGTGTGGACCCTCACCAACCTTCTCCTCCTCGTCAGCAGGCAGCAGCAGTCATGTCACATCATGTTGCACCATTTGTCCAACTTAGTCCAGGCTGGGGCCATTGCCTCAAGTCGCGTTCGCAGCGCCCACTCACCACGTGAACCGCGCGAACTGGCTGTTCGAGACTCTGGGTGGCGAAAGGGAGCCACTGGGCGGTGCAGAACGAAAAGAATAGACATGACACATCATGAGACGATGTGGACATGTTTAATGATGTTTAATGTATATAAATATGTAATGTAGACTCTTGATTAATAAACCCTTCCATTTGAAACGGAAGTCCTCTTCATATGGGAGCATTATTAATCAAGAGTCTACATCAAGCTTATGTATATGTAAGCTGGTAGGAGGCCATCACGGAGGCTCCCAGTGGCTTCAGATGACACTGGCACCCCAAGATTGTCTTAGGCACATCAGGCGTCGACCCTTCACCGGATGGTGCAATTGTGCCATCGACCCTTCACCTGCCACTGGACCGCTGCACACTCCGAACACATCGGAGTTTTCAGCCGGAAGCGGAGCCTTCCCTGGGCCCGCCTTCCTCTTCCATGTTGGGGAGTCGAACTGCCGAGTCGAACCATGTTGGAGAGTCGAACTGTTGTTTTTTGTTGTGAATCAAGCTTCAGTAAAGACCTTTTTTGGACTTTGAAGCTCACTGCGGTCTGAGACCGCGGGCTAGCAGCTAGCAAGTTTCAGTAAAGAGGACAAGCAAAAATGATATGGTTGTGGCTCGCGACTTGCCAAACCAGACTTGAGTGTCCTTCAGCCATTTTCAGCCGTTTTACCCAGTGTTCGGTCCCCAAATGACATTCGGTTGGTCAAAGATATTCGGTGTTCGGATCTTCGACCAACTGTTGGGATGCCATGTTTGTTGCACAATAGATGTATGAAGTGGATTGGCTTTGCGGCACCTGTTGGGACATGTTGGGACCTTCACCTGTTGAAGACGAAGAGCAAACACGCCTGCGACACTCTTCTCAGGTCGTGTGACAAAGAGCGACACGGTTCAAACATGTTTCAACATAGATGTGCGATATGCAACTACTTGAGCGAGAAGTTCAAACAAGCATAAACAAGGTAGTTCCTTCCTGCGACGATCATAGTCAATTTGTTGATGATGTTGATGGACAAAGCCCTGCAAACGAACCATACAAGTTGGATGTTATTTCCCTCCCACTAACATACGCTCGCGTACACTATTACTGTACAGTACTTGTTGCTTTCGTTCTTCTCATTGTTTCTGTTTGGAGACCTCGTCGCCCCCATCGCCATTGGCGCGGTCTAGGAATGGGCTGCTGAAAGCGGAGCACCCGACAGAGCCGGAGCGGAAAGACACCGAAGCAAAGGAGGACCGGACCCGCTGACAGCGACCCGGACCGTCGTGCTGACGCTTTTTCGCTGACGCTCCACACATAGACATTGAAACGAGATTTGTTGTGAAGGGTGTTGTTCTGGTCTTTGCCTCCAACTTGGAGGGTTCCTCCAAGTTTCAGACACACACACACACACCATGGATGTTACCAATCGGATGTTTCGCCCGGCTATGCCAAATCCTCACGGACTTGACACCAGCGCGACCTGCCCGGCACAGGGGGAGAAGATTCGCTCGGAGGAAGTTCCTGGGCTGAAAGAGCCAATGGGTGTCGGTACTTAGGAGAGTTGGGTGTGGGGTATGTGCCCCAAAAGCCCTAGAAAACACTTGCATCCCCCTGCAAGATCTGCGAGTCTTTTCACCCTGGAGGTTCTTTCAAGTGAGGTGAAGCAGATTCAGCGTGACCCACATCCCCAGGCATCCCAGGGCTTTTCAGTCGTTGAGGCCAAGTCGTCGAAGACCTCGACGTCCAGGGAGCCCCAGGAGTTCAGCGACGCTTGGTGGCACATGGAGCCCCTAGTAGCGTCCTTGCTCCTAGTAGCGATGCCAGGAGCCCCTGGTAGCTTCTTGTTCCTAGTAGTGTTGAGGACAACAGAAAGGCTTGATGGAATGTCATGTGTTGTCGTTTGGACATTTGCAGGAAGCCCCTTATCCCTTCTTTGTGTAGTTTTGTTGGGTGTGTTTTTGTTGTACATGTTGAGCACCAGGAAACATAACATGCAGGCCGTTTTGAGGTCTGTCTCCGCGGTCAACATCGGCCCGGGGAAAGCCGTTCGTTCCGAAGTAGGACACTGCCGCGGACCGATCCTTCACAGCCGCACCACCGGAATCAGCGCATCCGCATCCGTCCATTCAGATGGGATTTCAACTAATCTTGTCATGCAGGCCCTGATGTGATGTGAGTGATTTCACCACTTCAAACCCAGTTGATAAGTGAAAACCATGCGACATTCTGGCATTCTTCTTGATTTGGTGCGACACCCCTAGCGGCCCTAACAGAGGGTGATGACACTCCGGGGCGAGCTTGGAAGTCCACATGGAACTCCCCATTGCGACACCTCCCAGGTAGCGATTACGCCGAAGGACTTTGTGGATGCCAGCACCTTTCCGGTGCGCATGATGGTGCACCACACTGCCCTCCGTTTCGCCCCTGGGCTTTTGATGGATGGCATGGCTAGCGTTCAATGTTTGAACCCACAAAGGATTGAAGCGAATTGAAGCGTGTGGGTTGCAGCAGAAGCCGGTGCAGAGAGAAGATTGTTTTGGTCCAAAGAAGTCAACATTGACAGATATTTGTAGGTTGTGGCAGTTTGTGAGGCCTCCAATATATGCTGCTAGGACAGTACCTAAGCCGATTGCTGTTTCAATATTGTAGTATAGGTGTGTTGTGTGTTTGTATATGGGCCTGGATAGTACATTATTTGATGATCACGGTGCACAGTAAGTAACCAAATCATCACTGGGCGTCGTGAACAAGATACCGACGTATCAGCATCATCAGACAACGACTCAACATAATACTTGATCTACCTTCAGCACCAAAACATGCTATTCTAAACGGGCGAGCGCAAAAACATCGGGTTTTCTCACACATTCTCAAATACATCGGGTTTTGTCAAAAATCATCAGTTCTTTTTTTTTTTAAACTTATACTGTATATGTATAAATGTATATAATAGAGATATACAGTATATACACATATATATTCATTCTAAAGGCTGTTGTTGATGAATCATTGCATTAGACGGGCTCCTGGTGGCGCCCAGGTCCAATGTCATTCCGCCATACTGCACAAAGAGAATCAATAACAACAATTACGTAATGTATAGACAGTTTTTGATCTAACTAAATACAGAGGGGTCCTGAACATCACCAAAGATTTTGACACCTGGGACATACTACTGTGATGCAAACAGAATGGGTTGATGTCAAACCCGTGCCATACCCGTATTAACCCCTACTTTTCAACTAATACCTTGGGTATTAGAAAAACATGATGTTTTCGCAACCCGTGCCAACTCGTGCCAACCCCGTATTTCACCAGTACCAACCCGTCATTTTTATATCCTAACCTGTACTTGTTCACGAACGGTTACGTCCGATCGCCAACCCGCCCGCTGATTGAAAAGCGGCCGAGTTGAACTATATGGTCCCAAACCTGAAGTGGAACTGGAAGGACTTCAGTCGCGGCGCCGAACAGGCCCTGAGTCTGAGGGGGGAAGAGTCTGTTTTCAACTGATGGCAAACTTTGGGTACATGTATCTAGCATTCAATAGGTCATATCCTTGCACAATCTTGTACATATGTGTGCATTTTATATGTTGAAGCCTGGGAAGATATCTGACAGACTTCACATCCAAGTATCGAT